GGAACAACGGTAGTAACATGCAGGTAGTGCCTGCATGGTAAACACAAGGTTTTTGAGTTTGATTCTTGGTACCAAACAGAAAAATTAAATAAAAATAAAACAAAACAATAGCATCCTTAAAAGCACTCTATTGTAAAGTATGTGCCTCTTTCAACATGATCTGATATTTCAAGATAATATAACTGAATGAAAAATGTACCTGATAGAACACAGGAAATGGAAGCTGTTATTCAGCGCTGCCAGTAACTGTTCATGAGCCATCAGCTAAGAATGATATTGATATCTTCAAGCCTCTCTTTCCTCACTTATTTTACACAAGCTAAACATCTCTGTTTATGTTTCTAAAATTCTATGTATAGGTGAAATTCTTTGTGGGCCGCAGGGAGGAGAACAGGAAGCCAGCCACTTCTTGGGAGACAGCACCATTCAAGGGTTGTGGGGAGGAGAACAAGAAGCCAGCCACTTCCTGTGAGTTAGTGCCAGGTGTGGGCCACAGAGGAAAACAAGATGCCAGCCCCTTCCAGCACATGGGCAGGGAAACAAAAAGCCAAGATCTCATACCTCCTCCCCACCATAAGCACCTGGCCGTTCTGGAGAAACACAGGCTGAGATGATAGCTACTGAAGTAAAATACAACTTAATGTTTATGGTGTTGAGTGCTTCATTGACTTTACAGGCCTAAAACTGGAAGTCTGATAATCCATTTAAATGGTAACAAAACTCAAGATAGCATCTGCTCCTGAAGGTGCTAGGTATTGTTAATTCCCTTTTATCTTGTTATAAAGGCATATATCATTTTCATTGTTTAATTTGGTTTGGTTTTATTCTCTTTTGTCTTATTTGGTTTTTTATATCTGATGAATGGGCAGCTATTTCAAAGATAACAAGATATATTATGGTAGCCATTGTTGATTCCCTATTATTTTGTTTTGAAATCCCGCATCACTTACACTGTGTTAGCTTTGATTGGCTTCATTCTGTTTTATTTTGCTTGGTTTTATTCTCTTTAAAATAAAAAAAAAAATAGCCAGGGATTTAGCTCAGTGGCGTAAGTGCTTGCCTAGCAAACACGAGGTCATGAATTTGATCCCCACTACCAAAAAAATAAATAACTGAAATGAAAATAAAATTCTATGAATACAAAGGAAACTCATGCATAGAATTAATAAGCAATCATGTTAAGGGTCTTTTGATACACAACAAATGGTTCCTGCTTTTCACAATAAATTCCAAAGCACTCCAACACAGAAAAGTCTCTTGCAGGGGTCCCAAGTGACCTGTGCACAGCTGAGCAGGGAGAGTGGATTACAGCAGGCGGGCCAAGGTGCCACCCCTGCCCAGAGCTGTGGCATCACTCCATATCCTGAGCAGTGCTGTGCAAAGTACTGTCTTACTTTCTGAGAATCTTAAAATAGGTCATTAATTCCGGAAACAAATTCTCTCGCAAGCAAAAATATAAAATCCATGAAGTAAACATGGGTTCATATATATGGCCTTCCTTAATTACTAGTTACATTTAGGATCCAAGATTCAAAGGAAAAGGCTGGGGATTTAGCTCAGTGGCATAAGCGCCTGCCTGGCAAGCACGAGGTCTGAGTTTGATCCCTGGTACCGCTAAAAATAAAAAATAAAAAATAAATTTTTTTAAAGATTCAAAGGAAAAAACAAAAGGGACGCATCAGCTTAAACCACTCACTGACTTCCCAGTGTGAAATAACAGCAGACATGTGTTAAACATATCCCCCGAGCAAGCCAGTGTTCTTCTAAGAGCTGTATGTGTGTGAACTCATCTACTCCCCACAGCAACTCAGGCAGTATAACCGCATCAGAGAACTTGCGCAAGTGCAAACCACTGATAAGTGATAGGGCCAGAATTCACGACTGGACAGTCTCATCACAGTGTGACTTTAACCATGAGTCTCTGGAGAAAAATGGGGAACTCAGCATGCAGGTTAATTTTCTTCATATGAGACTGAATCACATGTCAGAAATAAACATTTCAATTTTGTCTCATAAAAATGATCATGAATCAAGTTAAAGAGTTAATATTGCATGCTGAAAAAATATTCTATATCCAAAGATCATAAATACAAAGTGAAAACATGTATCCATTTCCTGTGATTTACCCACAAGAGTTTCAAGATTGGTTTTAATATTAAAAATGTCCACAGTGGAACCAGAGGCTAGAAAATGAATGTGAGTGAATATTTATCAAAACCTTCCCACATGAGTCCAATCATGTGACTCAACTGTGGTTAGGCTGGCTTCTTAGTTTCTGCTCTGGGCCTTGTTCCCACCATAGCGAATCACAGGCCACCCAGAGGCATGGCAATAGTGATTATTTGTAACTGTCCACTCACTGCAAGCAGCACTGCCAAATTTGTCACCTGAATTGTGACACCACATGAATCTCTTCTCTCTTTAGTTAAATTATTCAGAACACAGAATTTGATTACTGACAGTTTTTGTTCTCACATGCCTTCATTTTTCCACCAGAGATGTGCCTCTAATCTTCCTATTTTTAAATCATTTCATAGTAAGCCAAAGAGAATATCCTACTTCAAAGAGACTATCCTACTTACGATGAGTTGTGATTACATGTAAATTAATAACACTCTATTCTAATTCCATTCAATTCCATTTGACACATTTTCAGTTTAATATTGAAGGTTAGGTTCTGATTTTGTTTTTTTGGTATTGTGTATGAGTGGGCATGTTTATGACATTTAAATTGTAATTTTTTAAAGTATTCTAATGAAGACTGGATTCCCTGAATAGAAGTTACTAAGATATTTATATGATAGAACTTGCCTCATAGCTAGTCTTCTAGAAATCACAAATGTTTGGACATAAACAAGTTTGCCTTTAAAGATGCAAGATAAGTCATAAGAAGTCACTCTGTGAAATCAAATATTCAACTTTTTTAAATTAAAAATAACTGAGATTAACTTTAAGGCCAGTGTCATTAGAATTATTTGTTCCTAAGAGAATCATCAGTTCCAATCAAATAATGTAAAAGGAATTGACTTTCTGCCTACATAGTAAAAGCACTTTGAAATTTTTGCAATAAAGGAAAAAAAGAACTCTTAAATTACCTCACCTACACTTTTTGCCAGTTTGGACTTGTTCTTGCTCTGTGTTCTCATATTGCTTTGTTGAACAAACTTTAATGTAACTGGATAAGTTTTCATTTATTGTCTGTCAAGAGCCTAAACCAAGTAATACTTATCCACTGGTTCTTTGGAGTTGATGCCATGCCACTTTAATATGCTCTCTGATCCACTGACTTTTCTTTCATAAAGAATGGTATTCTACAGAGCCAGATTGTAAGACTATTAAAATGTGAATGTTAGTAAGTTGCAAACCCCACCAGAAGGTGGAATCTTTCCTCACAGTGAGTAGAAAAACACTAGGCTCATTGAGCTGTAGTTAATCTACTAAATATTTGTTCTAGGAAGTTTCATAAAAAGAATAAAATAACAGTATGCAGATAATCTGAGGGTGTTTATATGATCACATTGTGGCACAAAGGAAAAACTTTCAGGTATACAAATGAAATTAGCATAGAGACACAAAATTTGATTACGCATCGACAAATTTTTCATTTTGGTATTTGGATGTTAGATTTCTGCTTTTGGTTTTGGGGTTTGTGTGCATGCATATTTTGCATATTTCAAGCTAACAAATATTTGATTTATTGAAGACACTTTAGAAGCATTACTTCTAGAACTGTGTGACAACAACGTAAAAACTATGAGATAAGCATTACACTACCACCATCCCCAGTGTACAGACAGAAAAAAAGTTAAGAAACTGTCCAAGAGCCCACAGAAGCAGAACAGCAGATCCTGAAACTAAGTCTGCAGCAAAGCAAGCCCCCAGGCCCCTGCCCGCATCCCCGCCCCCTCCCCGTGCTCTTAACACAAACTGGGTTGAGCCTGCAGGTCCGCACACCTCAGTCACAAACCCGCCAAGCGAAGAGCAGCGTGGGAGGTAAACGCTCCGCGCACAGAAAGCATCCATAACATCCAGCTCTGCACTCACACACGTGCTGTGCCCACCCTACATTCCTTTATCCAGCGTGAGATTTTCTAATCCATTTAAACCCATTTGCAAAATCATTTTATTTTGGTACGAATTGCTTGGAAACAATTGGAATGTTTTTAGGTGAAATTTTTAAAATTAGAGATCTCCATTAGGGGCAGGAGAGGAATCCACTCCAATAATCCAGAGACTCGCAGTGATGAATTTCCTTTCATTTGGGGGAGTTGGCATGAAGCCCCTAAACACAGGACCGCGTCAGGGCGAAGACAAGTTCTGCCTACGCATCCTCTAATCCGTACAGATGTCAATGGTCATGCAGCAGGATGTTAGCAAGGGTCAAAATTCATGTGTTACAGGAGATTCACGTATATTTTTTGCTTGGTTCTATTTCAAGTTTTAGAAGAGAACAATTCTTAATCTCTACCACAGAAACAAAGCAAAAATTCGGTGTAAAAGCTGCTATAAATGATAGTTAGGTCTCTACCTTTTAGTCCCCGAAGTCCGCGGAAGTTCATTAGTGTGCCTGGCAAACCTCTTGATAAGCATCCCAGGCTGGAAGACCGCCAGCTCCCCCGGCGGGGCCCACAGGTGTCTGTGCTCCCCGAACCGGACCAGAGCTCCTCGTGCAGCTGCGCTGGAACCGCAGCCGCCCGGGCTCGGCGTTCGGGTCCCGCCCGAGACCCCGCGGTGCCGAGCAGCAGCCAGGCTCCGGGTAGCTGGCCGGTGCTGCCCCAGAGCTCGCGCCCCCGGCCGCAAGCCCAGCCGTCCTCACCCCAGGAACGCGCGAGCGCGGGAAGCTCCCAAGAAGGAGCCGCGCTGCACTGCCCTCGCGTCCAGGTCCCGCGCTTTCGGGGTCGCGAGTGGACAGACGAGAGGGCCGCCCGGACCCTGCGCCCCGCACCCGCGCAGGGAGACGCCGTCCCGGCTCCCCACGTCCTGAGCCCAGCGCCGCTCACCTGTGGCCTCTGCGCTCCTCTGCTCACTCTGGGGCAGTGCAGGGCAGACCCGGCCGGGCCACGCGGGGTGGAGAGGAGTCCGCGGCAGTAGGTGGAGCCTAGGGAGGCCGCGCCTCCGCCCGAGCAAAAGCCAGAGTTGCAGACCTGACCGACCAGCTGGGGTTTCCCGGGGGACCAGAACTGGCGCGAAGGCGACTGAGCTGGGCGGCCGGGGCGGGGCCTGCGGGGATGGGGCGGGGAGGACGAGCGCCGCAGCAGGAGGAGCCGCGCGACGAGGACGCGGAGGGGGACCCGGCCGGGGTCTGGGTGCTGCGGCCGGCGCCTTCCTTCAACAGCTGCCTGCAGAGCAACCTGATGCGTGCGGTGCAAAACCCCAGAGCTAAGGGAAAGCTGGGACGCGGAGACCGCCTGGGACAAAGAACCGGGGCGCGCTGACAAGGACTTCGCATCAAGGCTGGGACACCTGCAGGACCCACCTGTCCTCGGCCCCGACCCCCAGCGGCCTCCAGGCCCCTCCTTGGGCGCCCTGAGTGCGCGCCCCATGCAGTGTTGCTGCAGCCCCTTACCCCGTCCAGAACCTCAGCACAGCTACAGGCTGTTCAGGTCTCTGCTCACAAGTCAGTTTCTCTGGCTTTTCCCGCATGCCCAGTGCAGACAAAACCCGACAGCTGTTCGCAGCTCCGCCCCACCCTCTCCAAGCCTGGTCACCGTTGCTCTCCGAAGTTCTAGTCCCAGTCTTTCGTGCCTCTCACGTCCAGCTCAAGGGAAGGTCCGCAGTGCAAGTTGTCCCCACCTATCACAGCACCTGATAGGCAGGCGGTGCAAGGTACACGCTGGATGGACACAGGTGTGCAAAATTTCTCAGCGTGGCGAACCCTTCCCAAAGAAATGCCTTCCAAAAATCAATAACTAAAAAAAATTTTTAAAAAAGGATTGCCTTCCTGCAGGAACTGAGTCTCCCTCGGTTTGTCAGATGCAAACATCTCAGAATTCACTTGCTGCATATCCTCATTCACTTCTTCATGTTAAGTTCATTGTTATGCAAATATCATGGAAGTAAACTACCCAGGATTTGGCAAAAGACACTGAGATGGGACACCAAAAGTGCAAACAATTAAAGTGAGATGGACTTCATCAAAACTTAAAATTTTTTGCTTCAAGCAAGACAGCCCAGAGGCTGGATGAAAATATTTGCAAAACACATCCAGAATGCATAAAGAATTCTTAGAACTCAACAATAAAAAGGCAATTCAACTAAAGGCAGGCAACGGATTTCTCCAAAGGAGATCCACAATAGTCAATTAGCACATGAAAGGTGTTCAGCACCAGCGAGGGAAATACAAATTAGAAAATAAGGAGCAGGCACAATCATACTCACTGGACGGCTAAAACAGAGGTAACAGACAAAACAGAGGTGTTAGCAAGGATTATTGGAGCTGGCACATTCTTAGTGGGATTGTAAAAATGGGTCAGCAATCTTGGGAAACAGTTCGGCCATTTCTTAAATTGTTAAATAGGGTTACTTATCGTAGGATCTAGCAACCTCACTCCCAAAACACAGCCAAAGAACCGGGGAATAATGTATCCACACAAGCATTTTTATCCGAATGTTCACAGCACCATTATTTCATAAAAGCGAAGGTGGTAACAACCCAAATGTCCATCAGCTGTTGAACAAATAAGCACAATGTGATGTCTCTTTACAGTGGAATACTATTATGTCATAAGAAGGGATGACATGAAATACAATATTCCACAAAGTCATCAATCAGTGGTTTCCAGAAGCCAAAGAAAGGGAGAAAGCAGAATGAATGCCATCGGAGTTGGTTTTTCCTGGTAGTGATGAATGTGTTCTGGTGTAAGATAGTGGCAATGGTAATGGTTTTGAATGTATTCAGAACTTATTTCCTCTCATTGAAACAGTACATTCTATGGTATGGAAAACATCTCCGTTTCAAAAGCAGTGACTTGCACACTTTATGTGGATGAATTTTATGAGGCATAAATTGTGTCAAAAATTTACCAAATCCAAAAAAAAAAAAAAAAAAAAAAATGAGGAGCTATAGAATGCACTGGTTTAACCTGAGCTGAAGAACATTTCTTTATATTCCATTATGCCTCTCTGATCTAGTCCTATTCTAGTCTTAAGTAAATTCACAATATTTCAGAAAACATGTCTGGCTCTATCATCATTTTATTTCAGCTTTACCCCTCCCTGAAGCAGGTCATGTCACACATATATACTTAGGGAAATAGTCTCAGTGTCCTTTGAAACAACTACCATAATTAAAAAGAATTTTAGAAGTGATAATAAAATAACTGAGGGAAGACATTTTGCAGATGTAATTCAGTTCCAAAATCAATAATGTTGAGATAAGGAGACTCTAGATAGATTTGACCTGTTCCTCTGAGCCCTGATAAATCAATTCTCTCAAGAGAAGGAAGCTAGAGGGAAATGTGTAGGATGGCATCAAAACAGCAACCAAACCTCCCTAATGAGGCTACCTGTATGCAGACTCCAGGCTCTGAGAAATACCCTTGATTGAAAGCTAGGGGAAAGCCCCAGAGCCTCCATTGCACCCGCCTAAGGAAATGAATTCTATTGACAATGGACCACCTTTTAGGCTGACACTGCACCCAGGCAAGAATTTCATTCCTGGTCAGCATGTTGATTCCACTAAGTAAGAACCAGAGCCCAGAATCAACATTCACACCTAGACTTGTGTCCTATAGAAACTGATATGAATCACTGGTGATTTAATCTGCTCAGTTTATTGTGATTTATTATGCAGTAATGGAAAACTAATGCAATATCACAGCCCACTTAGTCTAGTAAGATCTACATTTCTGAGCTATTCATTTGCATAGAAATTTTAATGTGATTAATATTAATTACATTCCTATATGATTTGCGTCTGAATATTTAAATGTACAAGTTACCAAAATGAATATGATTGTCAAGTAAACTTATCCAGTTCTTCTTTTAGAACATTATTGTACCCAAATCTATTACAGTCCACTCCTTTCTCAATATCAGGGACTTAAATTTAAAAAGAATTAAAACACATCAGATCAAAAAAGTTCTTCACCTCATTTTTGGTTTGCATCATCCCTTTGTACACTCAGGCAATCCAAACAGTAGAAGTGTGTTATAGAGAGACTGGCTATAACTAATGTATCACTTTGTTTAGAAAGGCCTGTCTTAATTCTTTATGGTTCAATTTCTCTGCTCAAAATAATAATTCTTCCTCAAACCTACATTACTGCTATATGATTGCATTTTAAATCTCTAATTTATGCCTAAAGCATATTTAATCAGTCAACCACAATGAACCTGAGCAACACAGCTACAACTAAATAAAAGTCAGAACCAATAAGACTAGGTGGCATATCTGTGTTACTCAACATTATCTTCTCATGGGAACAATAAAAAGTATCAAATGAATAAATCTACTGAGGCAAAATCAAAACAGAATAGCATCTATATCATACACTGAAGACACTGAGGTTATTCCACATACCAAGCTAAATTTGGGGGGTATTATGAATAAAGTTAACCTCTATCCTCCCTCATGAAGACTCCAGTCTAGTGGGTGAATTCTCATCTGGCTAATAGCACCCTAAAATAATGACCACCCACTAAGGCAGGGAGTGCTCAAAAATTCTCCAGATTTAGTACAGTTAGAAACAGGGAAGTTGGGGAGTCAGTCTCTTCCTTTTATTCAGCTGCACACACAAAAGCACCCTGATGATTGCCCACAGTTAAGCTTAGGAGGTGAGATTCTGGAGGCAGCAGATCCCACACCAGTGAGAGACAAAATGGGAGGCGCCCATAGTCAGATACCTACAGTCCTGAGGGTGCTATTTTCAGAAACATTTCAGCACAGATAACCTTAGTTTTGCAGGAGTTATTCTAAGGCCTTTGGCCTTGGCTGCCATCTAATGTGAACAGGAGCTGGTTTAGGGAGAAACAATGACACAAACTGGGCCAGGGAGAGGTCTTTCTAAAATCTTGTAAAGGAAAGAAAGTTTGTCTGTTTCTTGTTGTTCTCTCATATTTTGAACTCTAAGAATTGTCTAAGCTAGATGTTTCAATGAGAGATTCTAATGGAGAATGAAGCCAACACAGAGAAAAGCAGATTGTAGAGAAGAATGCTAATATCAAAGCTGCAAAGAGCTCAGCATTAATAATAAATATTTTTTAAAGTTCCCTCAGAAGTTCAAAAACTCAGAGAAACTGGCCAAACAATCTGCAGGGTTTGCTCCTGAAGGCATGTCCTTTGATCTAGATGTGGTACCCTAAACTGGAAGATAAAGCAAAAGCAAAAGCAAAATATACACTGAAATGAAGACAGAGAATGGAAATAACTCTTCCATTTTATGACTTCTGTCTTCTCAATTTTAGTTCCAAGTTTTTCTGGCAAAGAGAACACTGAATGTTCCCTTAGGGTTTGGGTCACGTTTCTTATATTTTTTTCTTAGAACTAAATATCACACTCCGTTTTCCTCACAAATAGGTCAGAAATTGGAAGAAGCCACCTTATTTCTGAGAAGTTACAGAGCTGGTTTCTTCTCAGGCTTCTTCCCACCAAAAGACATCAGGAGCTGCCCCTGGTGGTGGTGACGACGCCAGCGAACAGGGTGCATTACGTGTGCTTCCCCAGGTGCAAGTCACCTATGTGCAGGTATCTCCAGAAGCAGAAGGAAGATACACTCTTTGCTGGTTAACACATGTATGACTGAAATGTATCTAAAGCAAAAGAACATGATAAAAACTGTTCTCCTTTTAAGCAATAGTTAAACAGAAAAATAGAATCTCACCAACAATGCAGATCAAATTCCCCAAAATCCTTTTTTAAAATTTATTTTAACTCATTGCATATCAATGATTTATCATCTGCATGTATACATATGTAAAGTTTTGTTTTTGTTGTTGTTGTTGCTAATTTTTTCCTGTAGACAGGGTCTTACTATGTAGCCCAGGTTGGCCTCGAACTTGTAATGATCTCCTGCCTCAGTCTCCCATATATAATGTTGCATTATATGATGTTTAAATCAAGCTAAACATATCCATCTTCTCAAATGTTTATCATTTCTTTATGCCAAAAACTTTCAGACTCTTTTCTTACAGCTTTTTGAAATGTGTACTGCATCACCACTACCCGCAGTCACCCTTCTGTGTAAAAGCATCCCACACGCTCACTCCAATCT